TAATTCTGGCCACATCTCAGCTGCCTTCAGTGCTGTTTTAACGCTGTTAAATGGTGTTTCTGCACATCTGGAGCATCTGAGAGATTTCGTCCATGCAGAGGGAAGCTTCACACAGCTTCCCCAAAAGTTAAGTGCTGAGAATAGGCTCACAGTGGAATGATAATCAAAGAGCTGTACAAAAGCTCAGGATCAAAAATCAAAATCGGTGTCTAAAGAGCTCCAAGTCAGAAGTGTTACTCTACAACTTTTTATTTTTAAACCTAAAAAGAGAGAATGCTAAGGGCATGGGGAGAATTAGAGAACTCAACTAATCTCAAACTGAAAAATAAATTTTAAAATGTTCTAATCTGTGTAACCTCCAGTAGTATTCTCATCAGATTTGGACGTGCTTAAACCTGAGTATATTAACACACCAAATTAGTACATATTTGAGTATACTTAGATATTTTCAGCAAGTGAGCACACCAAGAGCTTGTTCTTTGCGTTAAGTCTCTGAACAAAACCCATCTGTTGTGCATGCTTCGGCTCAAGGAACTAAAAATAAAATTTCCAGTCTGTTTTCTGATGACTGCTTTGTACAGAAGAGCAAGTAATTCCAGTGATATCAACCTTCTGATTGTTCAGCAGCTGTTGAAGGAGTTAACATTGAGTTATTTAAGCTTTGGAAGAAATCACCCTTTAAAAAATTTGTACAGAGATAACATAGCATATCTAAATATCCAGCACAGCTGAGCCTAAAAAAATATCAAAGTACAACAGCAGGAGGGAATTCTTCTTTCTGAGGAGAAAGATGTTTATGGTTTTATACCTTCATCCTTGTGCAAGTTTTTATCTTTGTAAAATGCAGTCCCTAGATATAAAAATCTTCTTTTCCCCCAGCCAGCTCCTTCATTTGTATAACAGGAGTGCCCCACCTCTGTTTCCCAAGGAGAGCTTTGAGCAGTGGAGTTGACTCAGTTTGTAAATCCTGGCTGGCAGAATTTCCTTTCCCAGGTTCACCTGAAATTCCAGCAGTGCTTCTGCAGCCCCGGGTGTTAATTAACCCTTAACACAATAATTAACACTTAACAGAAAGTGTCGTGCAGCTGAGCACTCACAGCACTGCACCTACTTCCAGCCACAGCCACTTTTACTCATCCCCCAAAACGCCTCAGCACCTCTGCTGTGGAAGCAAATTAGAAAAAAAACAAAAAAAACCCCACAAAAAACCCAAAAACAAACAAACCAACGACAACAAAAAAATGGAAAACAAAAAAACTCCAAAAACCCACCAAAAAACCCCAAACAAACAAAAAAACCCAGAAGAAAACAGAACAAAAAATAACCAAAACAAACCCACCAAAACAAAACAAAAAAATACCCAAAAAACCCAAAAAAATCAACCCAAAAAAACCACCACAACACTTATTAGCACTTGCTCACCTAGCAGGACTGTTTTCATGCAGATGCCTTAATTTAAATAGGCTCTGCCATGGTTATTACCTGTAGATGCAGCCTTTGTTGTGCTCACACTTTTTGGGGTTTTTTTGAGGCTATTGATTAGCACTTTTAGAAGACTCCTTGTCAAACTGTTGACCCAGGGCAGGCTCCTCGCTATTACTTACCAATTTTAATATATTAATTGAATTCCATTAATGGCAATCTCTGAACTGTGAAACTGCTGTCTATTCCCCGTGACCCGAAGTTGTCCTGTTTTAAATCCATTAAATTAAATTATGTGATACAAAGGTTAATTAATCATGCATACCCAGCAGCAGAAAATCAGAGGTATAAACAGAATATTGATATTCTGCTGCCACTTGGAATCGTGATGGAATTACCCACAGGTGTCCTTCATGAGTGCTGGTGATATAATTAATGGTAATAAACTCTGGCCTTGGTAACTAATTTGATCAGCTATGGAGAACATTTCACTTAAGTGATTTCAGGAGCTCATGAACTCTTAAAAACAGAAAGTTATTCTCTTTTTCACATGGATACAGTTTGGAAGCATCAGCCATTAGCTAATAAAAGTTGAATGATATGCCATCAGGCTATAGTTTCTCTTAATAGCCCAGTGCAGTAAAGCTGGCACCATTAAAATCTAACATACTAAAATGACTCTCTGCCACAGGTGCAGTAATATTTTACATTTCCTTTCTGAAATGAAGAAGTACCTCTCTGTCTTTGACACAGTATCACTTCTGACATCAAACTCTCCTGCTACATTCCCCAAAACACTGAGACCAAAGCCCTCAAAATCCTCAAAATCAAAATCCTGCAGTAGTTGCAATGAAATTTTGAGCTTTCCTTCCTTATGAAAGATATTCAAGTAGCGCTGTTCTCCAATTTTAACTTATCATGCTTAACTTAATTCTTGGAACCTTGCACTGCAGCTCTCTGTCTTCAATGCTTTACCCCTCATGAGAGAAGGATTTTCATTTCCAACCCTTACAAAGAATTTTACTGCTAAAGAAATCTTAATCACAATCTGCCTGGAAATAGTAAAATTAAAAATTTTAAATTAAAAAAAAAAATTAAAAATAAAATTACAAATTCAGTAATTTGTTGCTTTTGGAAATGGTGGAGCCAGTGTGGAACTACCTCATATGGACTTTAATGGGGTTTCAGGGTGGGATTAATGATGTGAAATGCATCGTCTGTATTGATGGTAATGTGTCTGTAGGAATATTAAAACAGGATTGAGAATGCTGCACTATGGACAACCCAACTGGGAGGGAGAAAGAAAGAAAAAAAAGAAAAGAAAGATATTTTTAAGCCTCATTTTTAATGTTCCATCTGTCCTGCAGCCAGCTTTGTAGAAGACTGGAAAGGTCCAAGTTTCACAGAAAAATGTGAGCAGATGGAGGAAATATTCAGATAGCTGAACTTTTAATAGGTGCAGGCATTTGTCTTTAGATAAAGTCTAACTCAGTCTTGTTAGGCTTCCATAGGAAAGATAAACCTTCTGGAAAACAGGTATGGAACTCTGGAGATATTTATTAGTAACACAGGAAACCCAGTGTTTGAATGAGTTTAACCACTACTGAACAGGAGAGAAAAATAAGTGTATTCCATGATCTGTACCAGGTGCAACAGCATCCAAACTATAAAAAGAAGTGTAACATGCATGTAAGAAAATATAAATATGTTTACAATTTCTTTTTATATATTCTTATATATGTAGAGATCAAGGGATTAAAAAGAAATAAAATAAAAAGAAATAAAATAAAAAGAAATAAAATAAAATAATAAAATAAAATAAAAATTCATGCATAAAACCAGTCCAGGCTGAATAAAAAAATAGCACTGAAACTGAAAATAGCACTTAGAATTTAAGGAGAAGTTACATTTCTCCATAAATCTTGCTTTCCCAGTTCTAGGCTAAGGTCCAGTACAAGAACATTATTGCCCCAGACTCAGAAAATAAATTCTTAATTTTTTTTAAACCCCAGCTCTACCAGTCTGGAAGTAAGTGGAGCTCCCAGCTCATACAGCAACATTCAGGTAATTTTGTAAATAAGGAAAAAATTGGTGATTTTGTTACTGGTTTTGTTGGTTTGTTTTTAATTTTTTTTATAGTTTGGTTTTATTTTTAAGCCTTTTTTTTTTTTTTCAGAGATGTCTGGCTCGTAAGTTTCTTATAGACCTGCAGTTTTATGCAGTCTGGAGGAAAACAAGTAATTAAAAATACACAAATCTGAAGGTGTGGGCTTGAGTCAGGCCCCTGCTCCCCATGTTATCAGTTTTCTTTTCTGCCACAAACCACCTCAGAAAGCACAAACTGTCACAGGAATAAAAGATTCTGGCGAGTTTTTGTTCTTACTATGCCAGGCCTGAAATGCCCGGCTGTACTCACATGAAATGTTCACAGCATATGGAACAAAAATTGAAATTACACCTTTATACACAGCAGTCCAGTTTTGTCAGGGGAGAGAAGATTTATTTCATCAGCTCAGTTTTTCCCTCAGTATAGGAGAAACAGGATTGAAATCTTTTTCCTTCCCTGCCTTACACTCCAAGGCTGAGGAGCTGGGTCAGGACTTGTGGATCTGAGGTTAGAAACCTCTTGCTGCTCATGGTCTAGTTAGTAAACTGAAAAAGGTCTGGTAGCATAAGAGAAGGTGTGGAGATTTTGACTTTAAAGTAAAATATTTAAAATTTATCTATGTTTTACACAACAAACTCAAGACCCCAGTTGGATCTATCCTCTTTTTTCCTTTATTCCTTAAAAAGAAAACTAACCTTTGAAGAAGGAGTGTGAAATGCAAAAAAAACAAAAAAAAAACCACCCCAAAACAATCAAAAAACCTCACAAAACAAAAACAAACAAAAAACCCCACAAAAAACCTCAAAACAAAACAAAAAACCCAAAAAAACCCCCACCCCAAACATCTGGAAGTTAAAGAACTCAAGGAATTCTAATTTTAGGTTTTTAGTAATTGAAAGTGGGTGACAGAGCTGACATGATTAGTTTAAAAATGGGATAAATGGGACTGGCATATTACAAGCAGGTGTTAAAAGCCTTCACAGGAGCAGGTTACTAACAACACAATTGTGCAATATTTATCTGCATCTTATAAATATCAAAGCCCAGGAAAATGAAATAAATCTCGTATTTTAATAACGTTCCAAATTAGTGCAAAATACACAAGTGAAAGAGAGGGAAAAAAATAGAAAAAATACTGGATTTTAAAGGTAGCAGTTATGCAAACAGCAGTGAAAGGAAGGATTAGTAAATTTCCAGTCATCTGGAAATTTAGGAAATTTCTAGGTAATCCCTGCAGAAAAGTCTGGAAGTATTGATCCTCCACCACTCAATGGGAATATAATACTCATAACACTATATCCAGTCACATTTGCCAGTTTTTAATCATGCTGGCTCTTTTTTTTACCCGGAAAATTTCTCTTTTGTGACTAAAGGAAACTTAAAATAAATAAGACGAGGACAAAAATAACCTAAAAATCATGAAAATATCTTTTAAAGCATATTAGAGCCAATTCCTCTAATATTCCTCAGACTCCCATTTAACCTTTGAGACTCGGATTTTCTCTGTTCAGCCAAATTTCAGAAATGATAATTTTGTTATTTGTGGAAGCTGATTCCCTAAAATACCGAGGAAGAGAGTTGAAAACTGCATTCAAATGAATTTTGAATTAAAAACTGCATTGAAATGAATTTTGAACTAAAAACTAGGAACAGAACACCTTTATTCCACATACCCATGAATCAGGACACCTTCAAGATTTCCAGACCAAGTTTTCTTCTCCCAGCAGCACAAGGCAGTAGGAGGAGAAGGCCTTTGGAAAATAACTTTAGTCAAAAATTTGAGCTTAAGACTCAAATTTGTTGATGTTGACTGAATTGTATCCCCAAAAGTAGGTGTTGCTCACTTCATCATCAGCACTTACAGCTTCCATATCTATAAACAGCCAATGCTGAAACAAAAAGAAAAGCAAGAAAATAAACAAACAAACAAACCCCAATAATACAATAAAATAAAAAATAAAATAAAAAAAAAATGGAAAACAATTAAAGAGCTTGGCTCTGTTTAGGAATGATGCACAGAAAACAAATTGTAAATTCAGAGCTGATAAATTTTAAATTCAGCCCCTAACCCTCTCAGCACGCTTTAGCTGTTCTGAGCTCTTGGCAAAGGGAGGACAGCAGCTGCAAATCAAAAAAGAAGCAGAAAACAGGTCCTGTCTGCAGCCACAGACACCATCAGCAGGAACAGCCTTTCCTGCCACCATTTCAGAGCCAGGGCTGCAGGCAGAAATGCCAGGTTGGAGGATTACTGACACGCGTGTCCAAAGTTTCATTAGCACCCCCTGGGAAGCATCCATCTACATAAATGAATATTTTTTCGCTTTCCTCTTGCCTCAGAATTAACTCAAAGCGCGATTAATAAACTATCCTGACAATTGTTACAGTCAAGATATAAATTCTGAGGCAAAAAACACTGGGATTAAAAAAAAAAAAAAAAAAAGAAAAAAGAAAAAATCCATTTTAAGGAGTGTTAAAGGTCTGAAGGACAAACTGGCCCTACCTCCACAAACACTAATGACCTGCTTCTGCTGGTTATTTTGACTCAGTAAAGTCTATTTTTATAAACAGTTGGTGACAGAACTTAATAGTTACGAAGAAATGGGCTGGACCAGACTGAAATGAGTGAGATCCTGACCTTTGTCATGGTACAACGACTTGGACAATCAATACTTTTAATTTCGTTAAAGCAAACCTCTGATCACAGTGTCTTGAACCATTATTTAATTTTCTTCCTTGAATGAAGTATCCTAAGAACATTCAAATATTAATAGGGTTTATCTTGGTTTGATAGCATAAGATAGTGCTGTGCAACAAACCTCACGTCTGTTTTCTTGTGCAAGTGTTCAGCTAAAGGAAAAATGAATGTTTTGAAGCATCTTTTATGGCCATTATGTTTTCAGAACGTGGAATTCATTTCTCTTTGTGCTATTAATAAGATTAGAAAACACAGATTAAAAACCCACAGCTCTGGGGATCTGTCCACCTCACACATTGATGACAACTCTGGGAAAATAAATCCCAGACTCAGTAACAAACAGGAAGGTAAGCACCCTCTTTCATGGGTTGTGTTATGTGCGACAAGAGCCAGCTCAGGAGGGATTATCATCTACAGATCCTGCATCTGGGATACCCTTCAAAAACCTTTTGGTGCCTGTGGCAGGGACACAGCAACACTTGACAGAGTTTTTGGAAAAGGAACCTCCCACCCATCCCACTGTACAGGGAGAGTGGGGAACAGCAAGACTGAAGCAGGAGGAAAAGAGCTTCCTGGCAAAATTCCAGCAGCAAATTAAGTGAGGCCTTAAGGAGAGAGATGAGCTACTTAAATCTGTTCCCATAAAGTGCAAAGCCAAAACTAATTGGCAGTACTCTGCAGGTTTTATGTCTCACTGTGAAAATGGCTCTCCCTCTACGGTGGGTACATTTATTACCTACTGTAACACCTTCTGCCCTTGTTTCAAATCTTCTCTTCTTTCAACCACAAAACATGCAGGGGTTGCATATTCCCTCTGGAAGTGGGTGAAGGCTGATGTTCCAGGAAGAAGAAAATTCAAGTTGGAAATCTCTGGGGTTCTGGTTGGGGAGGATTTTTTTTTTTTTTATTATTATTATTTTTAGAGCTGCATTCAAGCCTGAACTTTCATACTGATCTGAGTCTGATGAATCCCAGCTGCCTTTACAGATGGTCAGAATTCTTCCTTCCATTTTTGCCTCCTTAAGTGTAGAACAAAAAAAAAAAAAAAAACCAGCATGCTGCCTCAAAAACTTGTGACTAGTGAGGTAAATATACACCAGGAAAAGCAGAGCATTCTGTAAGTTTCTGAAAAGATCAATAAAGAAGAAATTAAGATTTACCTTCATGGTTCTCTCACAATGCATCAATATAACAAACTTTTCCCCAGCTTAACATTTCTTTTATTCAGTTTGCTGTGTGCCAAGTATCAGTCTCCTTAATCCTGCAGCATTACAGCCTGGCAGGGCTACTTTGGAGCCATCTCCAGAGCAGCTTTGTTCCCTGTTTATGGAAGGATGTTATTAAATGTGTCACTCCAAGGCTTAACACAGCAGCGAGATGCCTCCTGCCAGGATGTACACCACTGAGCTCAGATAAATTTTAGTTAAACTTTTCAAGTGATTTTTTAGGAAAACTGCGCTTCTGCAGCCCGGGTTACGTAAGACTGCTCTGAGTTTGCATCAGTTATGAGTTTTATCTTTCCCTCCAAACTTCTGGCTTTAGTTTTATAACTAGTCAGAAATGTAAGTCGGTGTTGTAAATGTTTGAGTAGCCTCATGATAAAGAACTGTATGAATTTCAGCAACTTTCTGCAACCGATTATTTTTGCCCATTTCATGAGGAGTGTAATAAGAAGCAGGTGGGAATCTTTTTTGAGGGGTCTGCTGTGTCAGTCTGAGTGAAATACAAGTGTCCTTTTCTAATGTAGAAATTCAGCTTATTTAATAGTTGTGCCATTAAAACACTGAGAAATGGAACACTCAGGAGACACACAGGCATTAAGTATTTGGAGATAGGAAATAAAAAGGGACACAGGTTTTAAACTGCAGGGCACCTGATGAACTGGTGTCTTTTAAAGAATCAATACATTTCCATAATTTAATCGATGAAAGCACTAGAGATGGTCAGTCAAATCAGCAAAATAAGTTATTTAGACTGCATTAAGATTTTACAGCATTGCAGAAGACATAATTCAGGGTCTCAAGACCTGAGCTGCTTTAACCTGAGATGTCTCTCAATTACAAGGAAATTTTTGGACACTTATTAAGTTGGGCACTGTGATTACTTTTGCTGTTGAAAGACCCCAGTAACTCACCATGGCTTCCCCACCCTCACTCTTCCTGAGGAAGGACAAAACTCTTCATCCCAAGGACCCCAAGGAATGCCAGTAGATCAAGCACCACACAAAGAAAACTAAGGTAGAAACAGAGAAAACTACTTACAATAAATTTAGCTACACTATCATTGTGAGTTTCCTGTAATAATGATATAATTTGGATTCACTTTGATTGTATTTTAAATATTTGATGCACTGAATATTGGGACTGACACATTTAATGTATGAAAGGTGTAGCTAGCTATTGGAATCTTCCCCCTCTGGTCTAATAGAAGAGAAACTTTCAAAGTGAGGCAAAACTTTGTGTCATAAACAATGAACTTTTAATTTTCAGACTCGCACACCAAGTCTTCCCTGACTGTACTGCTATTCTGGGTTGATAAGATCTAGTTCTTCAGGGATCTACTAGAATTCTTGATCTGAAAGGAGAAAATATCACTATATATCAAATAAGACCTTGGATAGCTTATGTCAAAATATGTCAGAAAACTACCAAACTTTATTCTAAAGTAATACATAAGTAAGCAACTTCTCTGCTCTTCCAGTTTGCTGTTCCATTTCACATATGTAACTTACTAAAAGGAGTCGTTTTGGGGCTAGACATGAATGGAACAGCATGTATTTATTTTACTAACATTAATAAACTTCACAATTAGGAATAAGCATTGCACTAAGTTTGCTCCAAGGGTATCCCACACTGTGGTGCATTGACCCTGGCTGTATCTCTCTCTTCAATTTTTCAAGAGAAAACACAAGAAAAAGCTGGTGGGATTATGTAACAGCAGGAAAAGGTGACTCCCAGAGTAGTTATCATCACAGGCAAAAGAAAAAAACAACCAAAAATGAAAAAGAAATTCACTTAGGGAAATTAATTAATTATCAATCTAATTATCAATCAGATCTAAGCAGGGCAATGAGAAGTAACAACATAAAACTTAAAGTATCTTCCCCCCACCCCTCTCTTCTTCCCTGCCTCAATTAAAATAATGCCTTTTGTACCTCTACAATTATAAAAACCAGATTAAATATTCCAGAGCATGTCATTCATTATCAGAAAACTGGACCTGAGCTTGGGTTATCTCATTTTGCAATAGTCCTTGATTTGAGAGTAATCCTAAAAATTTTAGGAAGACATAAAATACTCCAAAGATTCTAAGTTGTTTTCTTTTTAGCCTATATGTTATCTTTAAAAGATGAGACAGAGATAAAAATATTCATCATTTTGCAATGGGATAACTTTCTGCTGAAATAATGAAAAAGATAATAGGAAAATTATTGTGTATACATCTACCTACACCTACACTTTTCATAACGGAAGATTAGTATTATTGTTGAGAGAAAAAAAAAACCCAGTAGGTTTCAATGAATTCTGCCTGCTCTCTTCCATCATTTTCATTTATTCTGTGTTGTTTCTACACACTTTGTTTGTCCATAATAATTAGGAACAATCTATTACATACCCCTTTTGTTTACCTCTGGCAAATTACTTCGTTCCAGCAGCGATATGGAAATACAAATGAGCAGTATAAATCTTCTTGAAAATCATTTAAGGTAGATTCATAAGGGTCCTGCTTATGTGAATATGAAACAAATGATAAATATGACAAAGGCTGCAGGAAAAAAATTCATCAGGGTGAAGCAGTATCTCTGTTATTTTGTAAGAAATACAAGAATGCTCAGAGGCGTGGAAGTCAGAGATAAATTAACACCTGGGGAGCTCCTGGAGTCCTAAAAGTATAAAAAAAATGACCTTTACACTTCAGCAGAGCCACTGAATCTTCTGAGAGTAAAACACATCTCACGAAGGAAAGCAAAGAGAAAACAGTGTAATCTTGCCTTTTTTTATCTGTGCAATCCAGAAACAATGGTTCTGATAAGCACAATCTGTCCTAAGACTGAGATTGCTTTCCAATTGCATCAATTGACTTCAAACCCATCAAGGTACACCAAATAAACACCCAGTCTTGTTTATTTGTAAAAAACAAATAAAGTTGCATCTCTCCTGCTTACAGAGGAACAGCCATTATGGCCCTTAGTGCAGATCCTTGTTTTTTGGGGGTTTAAAGTTAATGTATGTAACACTAAAAGCAGATGCTAGCAGCAACACACAACTCCACCACCAAGATTAAGAAATATCTGAATGAGCTGTGGTGACAAAGTATTGCAGTTCAAGAAACTGCTGAAGGTTCCTGAACCAAAATACAGTGAAAAAAGAGGACAAGATCAAGGCACAGAGGAAAAGATATTTTTTAAGTCACCCCAGTTCAAACTGTCTCATCAAGAAAATATTTTTGTTTAGGAGTTGTCTTTTTTATATTGATTAAACTACACATGAAAAAAACAAAACAAAACTATCAAATTTAACTTAGTTTAAGTTTCCACTGTGCCAAATTATCACACGAAGTACAAGAACAAGGGGAACCTCCCTTCACAAGAATATGAAAACTACATCATCCCTGTGTTTACAAGGCTGGATTTTAGGTGGGATCAGAGTTATCCTGCCACAGGATGCTCCTGGGTTTCACTATTTCTGTGTTTTGTTCCTTACAGGTAACCTTATGGCTGTTAGGTCTGAGTCTATGAATGAGGCACAGTGTGAGCAGCGTAAGGATTTCTGCTTTGACCACTGACAAGATGCCATGTCAGTTCTTAAAATGTTCCAAAAATGCTCATTGTGTCATACCAGTGTGTGATTTTGTGGTTGGGATTCACGGTGGAAAAGACAAATGGCTTTGTCAAGGTAAAGTGGCTTTTGCTCCAACCTTAAGAATGGATTTTCTTTCTTTCTAGAGCAGGAAGAACTAAAGTTTGCAAGCAAATCCACTTTAGAGTAGCTTCCAGTCTTCCTTAGATAGGAAAAGCTGGGAGAATTTAAAACCTGAATGGAATCCATTAAGCAAAGTGTAAGAACCTCAGTTACTCCTTGATGAATACCAGGTGGCTACAGCTCTGAACTGCATCACTTTGTGACCTGTCACCTGCTTGGCTGAGAGAGCCAAAAACAGGAGCACCTGCAGTGCACAAGTGTAAGAAAATGGAATGGAAATCTACCCTCACCAAAAAAAAAGAAAAAAAAAGGCATAACCTGTGATTTGTGGAATGCTCATTACATTTAACGACTAGCTGGATCTACAGGAGAATTTCTTAGGGAGTTTATGACTTCATAAAGTACTAAATGTTTGAACTTAAACTTAAAAGGTTCTATTCTGGAGTATTCAGAGAAATTATCTTAATATTCTTGGGGACAAATCAGTGATAAGTGGAGTATTTGTGCAGGAAGCTACACATCCATACCCATACAAATGCCCACACCTATCTGTGGAAAAAGGATATGCCAGGTGCTTGGGAATTGATTGAACCCTTGCCATTGAAAATCCATTTATTTCCATGGATTTTCTCAAGGGCAAGTCCTCATGTACAGAAGAGATATTCCTCTGAAATCATTAACCAGTATCTTGGACGCAAGAATTTAAGAGTGATGAGGTGAAGGCAACAAAAAAGTAAAACATTACAGATTAAGCAATCATAGGGAAATATTTGTTTAAAATTAAAAGCAGAAAAAAGTGTCAGAGCAGCTTGATTCTTGTCTTTGAACCAAATATGTCTTCTTCTCCCTCGATCTTTTAGTGTTTGATGAGTATGGATTTTTGGGATTAAAATGTAATGGAAGGATATTTTCAGAGAATGGTAACGTAATTGCAGAAAGCTCTTTATTTATACCAGGAGATCTATTTTTATAAGGTTAGAAAACCCAATATATGGTTATTGGTGAAAACAGGCAGCAAAGAGGTTTCCTGTGGATTTAGTAGGATTTGGGGGTAGAAAGCTGAGGAAGACTGAGTAAAACCAGAGTAAAACAGAGTAAAATATTTCTCTCTTAAACATGCAGAGACATTGTGATCAGAGAAACAGCAGGCAAACTATGGAAGTAGCATTAATCTCAAGAGAGCTGGCGAAAAAAAATTATTTCTGAGGTAACTATGAATAAGAATATCATCAATTTGCCTCACCAAATACTGATGGATGTCCAGGATGTTCCTCAGTAGTAAAATAACACAAGAGGATTGCTCTAGGATCCGTCTAACTTTTGCGAATGCTCGTGTAACTCCAAGACTTTGCAGTGCTTCAGAAAATGAGAGAGGTGGTCTGCTGCAGGGCAGTCAAAGAAGTGCATGACCATGGACTTGTACTTTCAAGCTGTTAAACTGCAGAATCACAGAATTACCTGGGTTGGAAGGGACCTTGAAACTCATTCCACCCCCTGCCACTATTTGGGACATCTTCCACTAGACCAGGCTGCTCCCAACCCTGTCCAACTTGCAAAGGATTCCTTACCAATATTCAACCTGAACCTACCCTTTTTCAGCTTAAAACCATTACCCATTAAATGATGTTGTTAATTACCCGGCAGTAACAAATAATGGGAACCACAGAGAAGCTGTGTTATAGCAAAGCAAGTTTTTCTTGGACATGAGGCCATAAAAATGTTTTATTTCTGTTCTGCTTGTGGGTCAGATTTTGTAGGTTTTTAGGTGTATAAAAAGTGTCAGGAGGTTGATATTTCTCCTCTGTACCTAGAAGCAGAAAGGATGTCACTTTATGGGATTAATCCAAATCATTGATAAAATGGTTCAAAAAAGCATTAGTGTAAGGGAAAAAACTTTTAAAAAGCATAAATTACAAATACTGCATTGGTGTTGAAAGATAACAGAATTGCAATAACGGCTCTAGAAAAGCAAGACATGAGGAGGTGGCTGAAGATATTGATGGGAAAAGACAATATTACATTTTGTCAATTTTCTTTTTAGAGAAATGAGTAATAAGATCCTTGGAGACAGAAGGAGAGAAAGAAGTGAACTGTCTGAGGTTTGAAATTAATGATATCACAGAATCTTTTGGGATTAAAGGTGAGGCATTAAGCAAAATTAGAGAAGTTGCTGCTTACAAATAGGTAAAAACAAAACCCAGAGACTGAAAGGACATTTTCTACTAATGAAAGTCAAGCATTATTTTAAGTGAATCATAGCAGAGACCCTGCAGTCAGAGTAAATAGCCTTACAATCAATTAACCTGGTCTAATTAACCTTGAAGAAATGGATAATTTATTACATTTACTATTCTTAGTTAATTAACATATTATCTGGAAATTACTTTCTTTATCAATTTTGTTTTATTAGGTCTCAGGGTTTGAATTCAGATTTTAATTCGGTGGCGTGGGTGAAAAATGTGGGCATGCAAATGTGAAACAACATGGTTTGATGTTTAAAACAATTTACTTAAAGGGATTCAGCATAGAAAACATATGTTTATTATTTCACAATTATAACTACAGAAAGCTTCTGTGAAGAATTTGAAAAGCAGCTGAGTATTTTAACAGCAGGAAAACACTGCAGTCTTCAGATAATATTTTCTGTTTAAACTGAGGCATTTTCCTTTTTAGCAAAAAAGAAATTAAAAAAAAAAAAAAAAAGGAAAAGAGAAAAGGGAAAAAAACCAGCATTGTAAACTTTTACTCAAGAAATAATGCTGAAAACTTTGGCTTTAGCACTTATTCTTTATTACTCCCACCTCAGGCAGCACAATTAAAGTTGTCAGGCGGCTTTCTGAGGCTTGGAAATCAGGCTGAATTGCTCCCTTCAGCAAAAGAGTCTTTTTGTGCATATGTTTAGATGCCTGAGTGGCCTGGCCCTCTCCGACTTCATTTTTACCCCCTCCTCTGGTGTTAATGGATTGAGGGATGTTTTTTTCATACAAACGTAGCGATTTAGAAGAAAGTGCAGCAAATACCTGCTGAGACACCGGCCTGAGGCTGCAGAAGAAGCAAGGCCCCTGCTTAACTCACTCTGGGTGAAAGAATTGAAGGGTCCAGACCTGGAGGGAGCTGGAGCTGCTGGAGCCGGCCCAGAGGAGGCTCCAGGATGAGCAGAGGGACGGAGCAGCTCTGCTGCCAGGAAAGGCTGCCACAGCTGCCATTGCTCAGCCCGGACAGGAGAAGCTTTGGCCTCAGCTCCCTGTGGCCTCGCAGGGCCCGAAGGAGCCGCAGGAAAGGTGCAGAGAGACAATTGCCAAGGGCTGCGGGGCCAGGAGCCAGGGAATGGCTGCCAGTGGCAGAGGGCAGGGCTGGATGGGATCTTGGGCAGCAATTGTTCCCTGGCAGGGTGGGCAGGCCCTGGCACAGGGTGCCCAGAGCAGCTGGGGCTGCCCCTGGATCCCTGGCAGTGCCCAAGGCCAGGCTGGACATTGGGGCTGGCAGCTCCTGGGACACTGCGAGCTGGCCCTGCCGTGCCTGGGGTGGCACTGGGGGGGCTCTGGGGTCCCTTCCAACATAATAAAATCCATGATTTCTTACGGTCACGGAGAAAGCCAGCAGCGCTGAATCACGGGCACCACATCCCTGCTGCTCCTCTCACCTCCTCTCACCTCAGAAATTACAGGAAGTGGCTTTCCATTGGTAAGAACTGGCCAGAAAGAAGTATCTGAAAAACACTTTTTTTTTTTCTTCTTTTTTTCTATTTTTTTTTTAAGAATTGTTTTCCTGCAGCACCACAATTAAAATCTAAACTGGAAACAAACAAAAAAAAAAAAAAAAAAAAAAAAAAAGCCAAAGAAAATGGCTTTGATTTCTTTTCTGTGAAAGGGCTTGGAATTGCAAAACCGTGTCATGCTGTGTGTTTTAATATTTTTTAAATCAAAATTGCTGTTCAAGCTGGAATTATTTTACTTCGAAGTATAAATTTAATTGTATTTAAGAATTTTTAGCAAAATGCTAAAAGAAATCAAGTTATTCCTATCCACAAAAAAACCAAACAAACAAGCAACACATCTTCTATCTAGGAGATACAATACATGCCAGGAATTTTAACAATCTACTTAGATTATTGGTTAAACACAACTTCCTTTAGAATTATCTCTAGATGCTGTCAAGACATTTTCCCAGCTGTTTTGTGGTAACAGAACTTATTGTTAAGTAAAGATAAAAATGTTTTACTACAACTCAGCCTTTCACGGTTCCATACATACAGATGAATCAATTTTATTTTTTTTTTTTTCCACTGTTCTTTACACATTTCCTCCGTGCTCACATACATAAATATACACCTTCCTATACTTTTAGGCATTTACTGATTTCTTCAGTAAAGAAAACTGCTTGTAGTGGCCCAACAGTACTTTCCTCATGTGCTTCAGATATTTTTTAACCCTGCAACCACGATGTATGTGGATCTGGAGCTTGACCTCCTTTGGCCCATTACTCATGAGTGTATCTGACTGAGGCTTGGAAATCATCACATTTTCCAAGCTCATAGGAAGCATTAAGATTATCCCTCAAAGCAGTGAAACTAGTTATTTCTTAAAGCTACAAATAAAATATATTTTAAATTTATTTATTTCAAATTTATTTTATAAAATAAAATATGATTCTGCGTGGATGACCCACCTCAAAACCTGTTTGGCAACAGAAAGTCTAGTGATGAGAAATGGTCATAACTCTATGTTCTTACACAAAGTCAGTAATCATTTTCAGATGGTCTTGTGTGGAAGCCTACATGCCTTGGATACAAGATTACAACAATATTTTTCCAGGGAAAGCAAGTTCAGTTAAAAAGAAAGGATTTGTTTGCTGTTTTGGTGTTTTGTTACTTTTTTAATGTGGTTTCTAAGAGTTATAAGTTCTTCTGGGGAACTGTAAAAAAACAAACCCACTCTTCATTGGGACTTATTCTCAACCCAAAATTTTCCATACCAAGCACAGAGATAGACAGAGTGATTTACTGGCTTCTTTTACAGTTTTTGTCTCAATTCAAACAGATAGATCTGAGGTTTTTTCCCTATTCTGAGTTCTGTTTGTTTTTTTTTTACAGAAACATGTTGAAAAAGGGATTTGAAACTGAGAATGTGTCCTCTGCTTGTTTGTTTAGTCATGGTGTTTTTGCAATGCCTTTGTCACAAACTCCTGCTAATGTGCAGTAATGTCTGCATCCAGGCATTATTACCTTTCTGTTTCAGGAAAGGGCAGAGAAAATAGCAGAGAATATTCTGTTTTCTGCAGGAAAACAATATTCTCTGAAAAAAAATCCCATGTTCAGTCTTATTTTTTGAATTATACTGCACATTGATTTTCTAGTATGGCAGAGGAAAAGCTTAATTTTTTCCCCAACCTTAAATTTCTGTAGAAAATTTTATTTTCAAAATGATTTAACCATCATTTTAAAGCATCATTCAATTCAGTTTTCAGTTAGTTATTTGAATGAGCTTTAAAGAAGGCTGAAATTTCCTCCTTTTTCCCCCCAGAAAAGTTTTTCTCTCACTGTGCTCGGCAATGATTTTTATTTTTCATGATAGAAGAGGTAATAGTTTAACAGCTGATATCCAGTTATGTCACTGTGTGCCACTGTCACATTCAGACTTAAAAACTCAATGTTTGATGGTGTAACAGTATGCCTCTAAGCCCTTTTTTAATTGTCCTGTTCCAACGGCATTGCAAGATTTAGGTATCCATACAAATATATCTATCTAGGTTTGAAACTATATAACTTTTTTGTTATGTAAAACATTACAAGGTCTAGAAAGTAATTTTTACTAATATTGCCTTCTTCCCATTCCTAGGACGCCAGCTAAGGCCTTAGAGGGTTGGAATTTTAGAACAGTTTTGTTTGAGATATCTCAAACAATTTTTTTACACATAAACTTTTAAGAGGTTGATTTTTATGTGATAAACATGGAAAAAAAAAAAAGCGACAAATGAAAAAATCTGAGTGACGAATTATTTTTCTCACATTTGTAATTCTTCATCAAAGATAAGAAGACAATCAGCAGCTTAATAATTCAGAGAGAAAAAGAAAAGTCACCCCTGTGGAAAAACCTGAAGATCAAGGACAGCTAAGACATAAAGGTGCATTCACAAGCCTAAAACCCAAAACTTTCTTCTTCAAAAAATTATATATTTGGGAGTCAACAGCAAATTGGTGCCCAGTACTGGCCTGCCATACCTTAAAAAAATAGAATGTTTCTATGATACAATGCAAAAGTTGTAATATGAGGCCATACTGGTATTTAAGTGACTCTTGGAACCAGTGAGGAATTTAGTGGCAATTTCAAATTAGAATTTATCTCCTAGAGACAACAGAGAAATGGTTTTACATCTGTCAGGAGAGATAATTAGGCCTGTTCCCCATAACTATACACCTGTACATCTAATATTTCTCATTTTTATAATGAAAACCAGAGGAACACCCTTTTTTTTTTTTTTTTTTTTTTTTTTTATCCAAATATTGAAATACTGTATTTTGAGCACAAGATGATAATCCAAATCCATGCTCTTCAGAAGGCAACCAAAATTTTTCCCCACATTTCAGATAAGTTTTCAGATATCCATTTTGAGGTGAATCTCAGTTAGTTTTCTCATTCTTCTTCATGTGCACAAGGAGGAAACCACCAGAACCCCAGTAAATGATCACACATGTATCTGTCAGTCACTCATTAAAAATGAAGTCTGACTCTTACAGGATAAAACAAATCTCAGAGTAAATGTCCTGGCAATCGTTTTTACTATCACTAAGTCTCCAAAATCTGAAAGATAATCACATAGGTTTTGTCCTTACCCAAGTGCAAAATTAATGGACCAAGTAAAGATTCAGAAAAAAAATATCCTTTTCCTATAACATTTTTTTACTGCAGGGAAAAAAAAAATTAAGAGTAAAATTTGACTTTTGAATGAGATATCAGTGAGGGTTTTTTTCAACACTTAGAAATAACATGAAATCCAAAGATTGTTTTTTTATTAATGAGTTTATGTTGGTTTATTCAGTATATTATTGGCCAATAAAATATTAAGTCACAACAGATTATCAGAAATGTTACTGCTAATGACTCCATTAAAGTAATTTTTCAGTCACATCCTGCTGCACAGACTTTGAGATCTAAACTTATCTTTTTATAATTAGACTCATTTACAATGGATCTGGACTCAGTTCAGGAATCCAATGGCAGTCACATGAGCAAATTATAAATAGGGAGAAATCACACTGTAATACATACCACATATGTCAAATTTAAGACCAAGTAATGAGCAGTAGAGAGTTTAATGCTCTTCAAAAAATTTCAGTGTCAAAAATAAAAGCCTTATAAAGCAACAAGTCACGAAATCCTGAGGGTTTGCTTGTTTGGTTTTTTTCCCACTGAATCATTAGACTGTGAAATTTCAAAATCAGTTGCTTTATTTAGGGTTGGTAACAATTAATACCTGACATATAAATTGGGGTTTGGGTTATTTTATTTGTTTGCTTATTTTCAGATAACTGTCTTGTTTATCTCTTTATCAAAACCTTGAAAAAATCTTTAATTTAATCTTAAAAAGTCACTGGAAATGAATCAATGCTTTAAAGTTGTAATACTGGAAAAAAAATTAATATTGGAATAAAAATCAAAGATCTCCTTCTCCTGCATTTGAGTGGCAAACTATTAAAGTAGAATGAGAAAAAAACCCAAACAAATATTGATCTCAGAAATTAATATTTGTTAAATTAAAATGAGAAAAAGCCCTAAACCTGAACATGACAAATCCTGAGATTTTTTTTATTTTTCATTTATTTATTTATTTGCTTTTTATTATTTTTATTTTTTTGATTTATTTATTTTTATTTGCATTTTAAAATCAACCTGCATAATTTATTTACCTGAACACATGATATATCCTTGGCATTTTAACTGTGTTTGACTAAATAACCTAATTAAAAATATGGGGCTAAAGATAACTATCTCTGTTTCACCTTGAACTGAAACACCATGAAATTCCACTGACAGAGAGTTAGATTTGTAAATTCAGTTATTAGTAATATGTCTTCATTTACCATTGATGACCATTTTTGGCAAGATAATAATCACTACTTAAATTCTTGCTGCCTCTGTGAGTGAAGCCAGAGTTTAACCTTATGCTGTGGGATCTGAAGTAATTTTTTTCCATTAAAATTAAGGAAAAAATTACACAAATATTATTATTATTATTATTATTATTATTATTATCATTATTATTATCATTATCATTATTATCATTATTATCATTATTATCATTATTATCATCATCATCATCATCATCATCATTATATTATATTATTATATTCTATTATTATCTATTATTATCTATTATTATCTATTATTATTATTAATAATAATAATAATAATAACAACAACAACAACAACAATAATAGTAATAACAATAATAGTAATGTACAATAGGTGAAATTTACCTTATGAAACCTGCCTCCATAGTGCCACATACCACAGCAGCCAGATTTTGCTTGGGTTCCTTAAGTAAATATCTAATTTGTTTACCCTTCAAATAAAAGACCAGACCAACTTATGAGCAAAAACAAAAGGCTCTTAAACATAAAAGATACAATTTCTTTATTCTAGAA